TTAACAACATTTTACATTACTGGACCTTCCTTAATAGTGAAGACCGTTTTTTTCTTTTTAAAACGATTAAAACGCTACGCCCTGCTTAAAAACGAATAAGAAACAAATTTATCTTAAAACTAAATTATTTTTATGGTTTTAAAGTAAATTTTGATAGCCCTAGAAATATAAAATCAGATATTGAGAAAACGAAGAGACCGAAGCTTTATTTCTTATTTCAAGCACGAGAACACATTACATAGTCTTAACTAAAAAGCTTTTTCAGTTCATTTTAAATGCTTGAGAGATAAAGTTTCATAAGCTACGTCAAGGTGTTAATCTGATTACCGCTAAATAATTGAAGGATTGCGTTGCTGCGGTAACATGAATATGTCTTAAAAAAAAGTATTGGGAATTGTTTTTTAATTCGCAATATATTTCACTGCGAAGAGAAAACTCACTTAGGGATAGTACAGTGGTTGGCAACCCTGGGCTCCCGAGCCACATGCGGCTCTTTGACTACTCGGCTATCGAAATCCCTAGAATCGTCAAGAACATTCCACAAAAGCCGAGTACTGTGTTTCGGCTATCTGACAATAGATGGCGTTGTATTCTCGAGCGTTCTAGATACTACTAGATCATTCGATATTCCTTCGACTATTCGGCGATAGATGTCGTTACTCTTACCGCCGTAACAGTATCTAAGTTCAGCATACTTACTTACAGAAGTCTCAGTAAGAGACGAATAATCGGTTTTCGAAATTGAACTGAATAAATTTCAATTGTATTTTATCTATATTTGGCTCTTTTGGTTGACAAGGTAGCCAACCACTGGCCTAGTAATATATAGCAATGTTTCTTTTATTGCAGTATTAAGATTTTCGTATACAAGGAGTACAAGTTTATCCAAAAGGCTTCGAAGCTTCCTATCGCACTATATATATAGTGCGATGCGTCGATATACTGAGGGTCATGACCACCTTGGTCCAGTTTTTGCACCAGCTTCCTCCAATGATGCCTGCACTTGGCCTGCTTAATGGCGCCCGGGACGCTGGTATTTGTACGCGTTTGGTATTTGTCCTTGACAATGTCCGTCCACCTGGTTGGCAATCTTCCTCGACTTCTCTTTCTTTTTTTTCTTTTTTTTTATGATTGAGACATTACTGGTGGCCCGAAGGCCTTTCCAGTTTCACCAGGACAGGTGGGCGAGCAAAGGCTCAGCCAGGAGGGGGCAACTCTTTTTCCTTCCACGTGACCAACAACAACGTAACTATTAGTATGTCTGAAAAGTATATTAATGAATGTTGCAAAAATATAAACGAGAAAGTGCATTAATAATGGATTACGATTAAAATGATATCGAACTAACGGACGTGCCTCCAGTCCGCCTGACGGTAAAAAGCTACCTGGGTCCGAAAACAGTAGCGAAAAGGTAACCGGTTGGATCCACAGATCGAAGGTGCTTCAAAATAATATAAACTGATAAATATTTTAGAATATTCACAGCAAAATTTTGATTATTATTGGCGTATCTCCAAGTCTTTGACGACTTACGGTACTAATAAAGCGATGCTGAAGTATCTACCTGTTGCGTTTTTTCCTAAGCTCTTGGCAAGTCAACAACGTCGGGACGTAATAAGGTGCTTTGAATGAAGCGAATTCACTTTTCAGTCTTAAAGAAAGAGATCTGGTCTAATTAATATCAGCATTACAGACAAAATTTTGTTCTACGAATACTATACCAGACTTCTTAAAGAAAAAAAAAGCTCCTTATTGTGTACGTTTCTTGACCTCTGTATTGAGTAGCAAATTTGTAAAGCAAATACACGACATAGGCAATCGAACATGATAGAGCTGAACATTTCCGAGAATAGCTTCCGAACCAGTAGACCAGGCCATTCCCGTAACGGTCTTTCTCCATGGCCTAAGGGATAAGACGTCCAGTGCATTCGTGTTGAGCGATGCATAATCTTAAATTAAATATTCTTTTTTTAAATAAAATTTTAATCGCCTGTACCAAAAAGATATTGCTGCATGCAGTTAGCAGAGTTTACGACTAAAGCCACAAGTAGTTAGAACATAAAAGTGATAAATCTCCACACGTTAGGTGTTGTGTTAAGAACGAACGATTTCTGCACGAGGCCTTTGATCCGGCATAGCTAAATCTGAAATTGTCGGTCCAAGCATTCCGCTCTCAAATCAAAACGTATACCGAGACAACGGAATAGTAATGTTTGATTCTCAAGGGCCAAGTCTGAAATAATTATTACAAGCCAGCGATGTTCAACTGCAGGATTAATGGTCCGGTACTCCCGTTACTAATAAATCAAATAGGTAATTATGAAACGTTTTAAACTAATCTCTAAATCCGCTGTTTTTACAGAACTATGTGGTTGGTAGCTCTATAATCTTATTACACCTACTAATGAATAACGAAAAAATTGTGTCATAGAATTTAAAATTTTAATACAGCGAATGAAAGTGCTAATTTCACTATTCAATTCAAATCGATTCTGGCTTATCTCTCAGACGTGTTAACGTGATAATTTTATGGCTAAATCTCAAGTGACGCCTCAGATTTAGATAGTTTTAAACAAATACTCCAATATTTCGGACACCTTTTTTTTTATTGCTTAGATGGGTGGACGAGCTCACAGCCCGCCTGGTGTTAAGTGGTTACCGGAGCCCATGGACATCTACAACGTAAATGCGCCACCCACCTTGAGATATAAGTTCTAAGATCTCAGTATAGTTACAACGGCTGCCCCACCCTTCATACCGAAACGCATTACTGCTTCACGGCAGAAATAGGCGGGGCGGTGGTACCTACCCGCGCGGACTCGCTAGAGATCCTACCACCAGTAAACCTGATTTCAAATAATTCTTTTTCACAACAATACGTCCTAGCGATAACACACATTAAAATTACCGGAAAGCCTGAATAGGAAAGATGCTAATAATAGTTAGTAGAACGATCGATAGTAAAACAAATCGAGATGGGATCGACAGAGAAAAATGTCTTCTATCAATCCGTGCAACGTGATTCCACATAAAAATTAGCTAATACGCTCTCTTAAAATATCATTTATTGCAGTGCCCCTATCGCCAGAGCCCACTGAGTTTCTCGCCGGATCTTCTCAGTGGGTCGCGTTTCCGATCCGGTGGTAGATTCTGCGAAGCACTGCTCTTGCTAGGGTCAGTGTTAGCAACTCTCCGGTTCGAGCCGCGCGAGCTCACCTACAAACGTTAGGGCGAAGCTGAAATAGCCTCTCAAGGCTAACAGTATAGGTAGGAAAAATAGGTAGGATAGGAAAATAGGTAGATAGGATAGTGAAGCAGTAATGCGTTTCGGTTTGAAGGGTGGGGCAGCCGTTGTAACTGTATAGTCACGTATATGAGACCTTAGAACTTATATCTCAAGGTGGGTGGCGCATTTACATTATAGATATCTATGGGCTCCAGTAACCACTTAACATAAGGTGGGCTGTGAGCTCGTCCACTCAACTAAGCGATAAAAAAAAAAACGCCAGCTACTAAACTATACTTCGGTTTAAATTGCTTGTACTCCAAATATAAACTGATGTAAACGATTAGTATTTACACTCAGTTTAACAAACAAATAACAGCTTTGCGGGATGTTAAATTAATACAATCAGCTTAGATTCAAATACTTAGTAAATAAGACGTATGGAAAACATAGTAACTATAAATTGGTGAAATAACAATTGGGAAGAGCTCGACATTTGAATGTTTATATATAAAACAATTATTAATGGGTCACCGGCCATGTGAATGAGTTCGTATACAAACTCTAAATATTGAAACCTGTAATTTTCATTGCTTCGAAAAATTTTAAATAGTGCTTTCTTGTTCTAATACACTTAATGTACTTAAGTGTATAATTCCTACAAATGTTAAACTGCTAAGTTACTGATCACATATTTTGTTAGCGAAATTATAATGTAAATAACATAAAACCTCTAAAAAATTCAAGAACATTCATAATTTCAACGTTTTTTTCATATTAAATTATGATTACTTCAATTTGTTATACATATATCGTAATCTTTATTATACATTTCTTCTGTGCGTGTGTTTGTCACTGAACTCCTCCTAAACGGCTGGACCGATTTTAATGATTTCTTTGTATGGGCTTGGGTGGCACTCTGAATGGTTTAGATTCACAAATCAGCCCGGCAGATCTGTCAGCTAGTATGTTTATATGAGACCATTTTTAGGGTAACATTTCTGTACATCATTGATTTAAATTATATTAAATTACTAGCTGACCCGGCAAACATTGTTTTGCCATATATAAGATTTCTAGGGAATTTCTAGTGTAGAAAAAAAAACTAACTTATTGTAAGTGTGTAAGAATGTGGTACATGAGTGAAAGAGGTATGTAGTGCTGTGAACGATGAGGGAATATATAATAAAAATAACAAAACCTCATTTAACCACGACTCATTATAACAAAAAAAAAGTCCAAATAAAAAAAAAGAAGTTAGGGGTGGACAGCCCTAATCACTTAGGGGTATGAAAAATAGATAGTAGCCGATTCTCAGGCTTACTGAATATGCATAAAAAATTTCATGAGAATCGGTCAAGCGGTTTCGGAGGAGTATGGGAACGAACATTGTGACACGAGAATTTTATATATTAGATTATAACAGTGTGGTAACATCAGACGCTCAATGTGACTATAGTTAATTGTATAAGAATTAGCGTATGTACCTTCCCATTGAAGGGGGAGATTAACTAAGCGTTGGCCTCACGTTGAGATATCTTTGAGCTCTTGTAACTTCAGACAAGCGGTGAGCTTTTCGGCCTATCTACAGCAATAAAACCGCAAGCCATTGTTTGTCTTTGCGATTGTAATGCAATAAATCGCTACTAAAAAATTCCATCAGGATTTTTAAGGTGTGGTCCGGTTACTATTCCGAATATATGGGTATATAACCAATACTAATTCTAATTATCTAATGATCTGTCTGGGAGAATAACCATTCTTTAAATTTCAGCAGGTCTGCCGCAGAGCCCTCATCATGCCACCCGTAATTATGCAGCGTTCTGCTGGGGTCGGTAAGCATTGCTACATATTGTATAGTTATAAAAATTTTATACAATTGTTTTTATATTAAATTAGGAAATAAGTATAAGGTCAATGAACTTGAATTTTTGAAGGTAGTTAATGGTAGCTATATCTATAGCACGAGTAGCATATTATACACAATATTATAACCATGAGATTTGTATTTTGAATATAAACATTTTGCTATTTACCTAATTATAAATATGAAGAAGCACGGAAGACGTCTTTTAACTTCTTCTTCGGCTTCAAAAAAGGAGCAGGTTCTCAATTCGACTGTATGATTTTTTTTATGTTTGTTATCTCATAACTTTTGACTGTGTGAAACGATTTTAATGATTCTTTTTTTATCAGAAAGCTGACGCTTCCCGTGTGATCCCATTTCAGTCCCATTTTAGTCCAGTTCTGATAATGGTATCCATGAGAAAACCATATAAGTCTTAAATTTGCATTAAGTACGTGCGCGACAAATAGATGAATAACTCAATATCACGCCAACCGATTTCGATGATTATTGTTTTTAATGTATATTAATTTGTTTGGGAATATCTTCTTTTTCTATTTGAAGTCGGTTTTTGTTAAAGCATATCTATTTACAATTATTTGAATTTTATTTGATTATTATTATTATTATTATTATTTATTAAATCTTCAGTGGTTTTTACGGATCTTCCGTTATAGCTACTGAACCAAGCATCCAATTGACTTGAAACTTGGTATCCATGTAGAAAACACATGTACTTAATGGATAGCCTAATATTTATATGAGTGTTGGACTCCCTAATAATAATGACAATAAATAATAATGTTAATTTTAAATGCCCAGCGAAGCGGGCGAGTACCGCTAGATTATTTTTTTATTGCTTATATGGGTGGACGAGCTCACAGCCCACCTGGTGTTAAGTGGTTACTGGAGCCCATAGACATCTACAACGTAAATGTGCCACCCACCTTGAGATATAAGTTCTAAGGTCTCCAGTATAGTTACAACGGCTGCCCAACCCTTCAAACCGAAACGCATTACTGCTTCACGGGAGAAATAGGCGGGGCGGTGGTACCTACCCGCGCGGACTCACAAGAGGTCCTACCACCAGTAATTGAATAAACTTCAAACTTATATTTTGTCTTAGATGCCGCCGCGCCTGTACTCGGTGGCCTCACAGCCCACAACACCTCGAGGGTCTACTCTCCGGTCACTCTGAGCTCAGAGTGGCCAACAGTTGGCAGGCTTTTGTTTGTGGTCTCGTGCTCTTGTCTTGGTACTATCCTCAACGGCTTCTTCGTATCTTCGTTCTTTGTGGAGTTCACCCTGAAGAAAGTTGGTTAGTAATTGTTTACTGTTCGTATATGCACGTGACAGCCATAGCTGTTGATAAGGTTGACCGATTTTATTTTGTTAAAAATTAAATTTTGTAGTCTATCCCTATAACCGGTCATCGTTCTCGTCGAACCCATCGCTTGCGATGAAGGGCTCGATGGGTAAATTAACCCACAGACACAGCCCACTGAGTTTCTCGCCGGATCTTCTCAGTGGGTCGCGTTTTCGATCCGGTGGTAGATTCTGCGAAACCCGGCTCTTACTAGGGTTCGTGTTAGCAACGTCATCAGGTTTGAGCCTCTCAAGATTATTAGCTTAGGTAGGAGAAAAAAAGAAAAAGCTAAGATGATTTATCGCCACTTTCTTATTTATCTATTCGGAATAAAGCTCTAATAAATCCACAGAAATTTATTTTTATGATATAGCATGTAAACTCTATGTCTCGGTTAATCAGTTGAGCTTAGTTGAGTTTGAGTGTTTGGTAAGAAAGTTAATAGTTTTATTTGAATTCATAGGTAACGTCTTTCTGGCTTGCGTTGGTCTCGCAGACCTTATTATGACGTCTAGTGTGATGCCTATTTCTGGTGTGGTGTTGCTGTCCGGAGAATGGGATACTCTCGAAGTTTGTCGTGCGCTGCAGTTCCTCGGTCAAGCCTCTACATATTCATACAGCTTGTTCTTTGCTGTAAGTATTTAAACAATAGTTCCTTATCATTGAATAGACGTACATTTATTTATATTACAAATTTCTCCTATAGATGGCTGCAATAGAAAACTACTATCGACTATGCCGCTCAAGCGATGAATATGTCATGTTTATCTCGATGCACACTAGCTGCACCTGCGTCTTCATTTTTGCGTTGTCCTTCTGTCTTTCAGCAGTTGGAGTCTTCTTGAATTTAGATTACGATTATTGCTTGCGGACCGACTACGGAAATTTTGCCTTCAGGATTACTACTCTAATAATTTTTCACGCTGTACCTCTTGTTGTAACGTATGTAGGTTTTCTGATATGCGCTATACACATTCGCAATCGCGCTGCTAAAGAGCTCCCCTACAGACGCTCGCACCAGTACGAACGTGATTATTCCAGGACTCATTTGGATATCGCGGTCTATTCACTGCACGTTCTCGCTTGGATTCCTTATCTCATCGTTGTCTACGACTACCCTAACGCCCCCGATTATAAGTTCTACCATAGCACCTGGATCGCGGTGTGCCGTCCCGTCCTCACAAATTTCTTGTACTGCGCTATTAATCGTAACTTCAGACGTGCGTTTGCTCATCTCTACTATTATTGTTGCTGCAAAAGTTCCACAACTCGATCGTTTAGTACCCGCCACCGTCGTATTATTTGTGAGTGCAAGATGCCTATTTCCGATGTCCGCGTTCATATTATGCACCAGGCGCTCAGCTCCAATAGCCCAGCCCGCGGTGCTTCTTCGTGTAGGGAGATGCAGGAATTATGATCATTCCGATCAAGCCCGGTGAGAACGCACAAGAAGAAGGTGAGATTCGCGAAAACAACGGCACGGGTCTAAAAACGGATAAACGGCTTGCAACTAATGGAAATATTACAGTTTTAATTTTTGTGCTCCCTACATTGTGGTTAAAAAAATTCAAACCTTTTATCGTTTTAACATTACTAATTGATCAATTGTAATATCTACTCGTCATTTCATTTTTATTTTGGAACTCCTCACGCTTGAGGACCTTTTAGTATCTTCCCGTGTTACGCTTTTGCTTTTGAAATAAAAATCCAATAAAACATAGCTCCACTTCAATTTTTATCGATAAACGTAAATGTGTGTGTTAGATTAGATTGGTGTTCTTAATATACTCGTACCGTAGTTCAATATTAATCCCTTTAATGGACATATATTATAATCCTGTATGTTTATTGATGTTGTTAATAAAAGTTCGTAGAGTGTCGATAACCGAATCGTATTCGTGAAAGTCTGAAAAGTAACCATGACTGGCTTGAACACAAAGTGAATGATAAGCGCATTAAGCAGGAGTATCAAAAGCCACTCGATGGAATTGAAATGAACATAGTTCTTAGTCGTATTTTCGTTGTCGATGTGTTCTTAATGTGAAAATGCTTTACGAAAATGTGCTATGTGCATAAGTATATGTAATGTTTTAGATTTAGAATGTCTGGCTAATGTAGACCTTTGTTAATTAATGTTTTTATTTTATTTTTATTCTGTTATAAGCTGTAAATAGAATAACACATATTGTATAACATATATCAATTTATTTTTGATTTACCTTTAATTTTATATGAAAGCTATTTTATTATTATTTGGTTGTATTTTTGGGCAATATTTACTTTACTATATCACGAATTATTCTAAAGTGAAAATTTTCGAATTTATACGCCTATTTTTCATATATATATACATATAATTATATATTTAAATATTACTTAATAGCTTAATAGTTATAACTCGTAGGTATTGTATTTACACTCCCGTGTGGTTTTTTCTGATTATCAATGTTGTCTAATTATACGTAATTATATTATACATGGACTATCGTTATACATAATCTATTTTGTGCAGACCTATATAATCAAACTGCACTCGATTATGGCATTGTAAACCCCAACATCGCCGGCATGGCAAGCGTAGATTTTGTAAAAAAAATATAATTAAAAAAAAAGTAGTTTTGTGGAATCGTATTAATAGAAAAATAATAATTTCGACTCGATGTTATTTAAAATATAGTTAGGTACAGCCAAGAACATTGTAGACTAAATTGTAAATTATTGAAATTAAATTAAATTAAATTTTATTATTAATCAAATTAAATTTTCCTGAATAGTCTTTAATAACATCTTATATTTTATGTGTCATATTGCATATTCACACTATTTAACTTATACCGGAAATCAAATCTTAAATCGTTCAAGTTAAATACAACTTTTAGATGCGCTAATTAAATGTTAGATGTTAAATTAATATAAATAATTATAGATGTAATTCGTAAAAAGCCAACTGTCGTATCGCACAAAAAATACATAATAATATATTCCCTGGTATTAATTAGACAATTTTAAATCTTAATTATTAATATTATCAATGTCGTTTATCAGTAGAATGTTATTTCGATTCCAATAAATCTATAGAAAACTGGGGCTGTCTTTGACGCTCATTTTGTTTTCTCTTGATTTATTCGTAGCAAATCAATAATATTAATGTAGACATAAATAACTATATATTATATACATGTTTAATCTAGAAATTTAAAGGGTTCCCTAAACTTTGACATAATTCTTTACATTATCAGTATTTTCTCGTAGAAAAATTGCAGCTTGTACCAGTAGTAGGGGTTTACCTTGAATATTCAACATTGAATTTAAAATCTATAAATACGATTTTATTGTGGACTTGTAGTTTCTAATAGATATATTTAGTGATATTATAATGTGTGTCGTAAATTGTATATCGAAAATACTTCACCATTCGGTGTTCTTTTGTCTTTTACTTGTGCCATGTATCTTTTTAATACACCATCCAAAACTAGCTTGCGTGCAAATAAAACTATTTAAAAATAAGTGACAATTTTCATATATAATCAGTCGTTCCAAAACAGAAAACACAGAAGGCAATACAAAAATATAATTTGGTTGAGAATAAATTTAACGTGGTAGGTACGAAAATCAGGAAAGATTGTTTTAATGCAATACATTATTGGTATATACAATTACATTTAAAAGAACAAAAATGATACGCTTAAGTTGAAACATCCAAAACACTCCGTCCGATACGAAATAAATACAAAATCAGGCGGATTTTACACAAAAATGTCCAGAGTATGAATAATTGAAAAGGAATTTTTTTAACAACAGTTATCGTGGAACGTTTGCTAAGCTTTGGGGTATATGAGTAGCTTTGTGGGTGGGGTGGGGATGAACTGTTAACTTGATAAGTATTCGTGATAACAGCATAAATAAGAGCGTTAAAATGAAATACCTTGAAATAAGAGAAACAGAACATGAGAGAAATAGGGAAAAGGGAGGGGAGATTAAGAGAAGAGATCAGCAGGTGTAGTTGAAAGAACGGATGAGGGGTGATGCGGAGGAGAGTTGGTGCTAGNATGGGGCGGGCGGAATGCTATGGTTTCGGGAAGCGGGGGAGGATGGGAGGTGGGGTGATGGGGAGGAAGGGAAGATGAAGGGGGTGGAGGGGGCGAGGCACGGACTGGGAAGGCTAAATATGATAATCGTGTTAAAAATGTGCATTTTCTTCATTTTATGCATGGTTTCAATCTCCCATAATAGTTTATTCCTGGTATGGATCTAAAGTATAATTGTAGTTATTACTAGATAAGGTGCTTTTGAAATTACGCGTTTAAAAGGATTGCATTTTTAATGCGTAGTTGTATTGGATTTTGTCATTTGAGGGCTTGAATATAAGCCTCAAGCGTGATGCTTAATAAAGTGGCATACCTTGACATTAGATATGTGTCGTTCGCGAACGAACGAATCAAACGACCCGGGTCTCAAAATCCGCGCGAACGATAGGGTCACTTCAAAAAATATGAGTCGTTCACTCTATCGACTCGTTTAACAAAACCTACGAATCGGAAGAAAAGAACCATACAGTCATTCGGGTCATTTCGGGTTGCCGGGTCTCGACCCGCGCCCGTCTCGGTTAGTCGTTCGTTGTCACATAATGACGCATAACGCATTTGAATTGTTTTGATCTCACGTAAACAATCGAACTATAACAGTTCCTTTAAACGTTCGACTGAACGGGTCGTACGAACCGGATCATTTTGTCAACAGGTCAGTACTGATCTGAATCTCTAAAATTGAACGAACGACACATATCTATTTGACATCTCGTAAGTAAAGTACTTTTGCAATTTACTTCGCCAAGACAAAATACCAAGAGCTATTGATTCGAGTCTAACTAACTTTGTGAATCGGCCATTCGAAACGAAAAGGACTTGAAATGTAAAAGGAATAGGACTGATCGGCTGAATTCACATATTTTTTTCAGTAGTACTCGAATAAGGAGCATACAGAACAAATTTTAAAGGCAATCTTTTCGAACGTCCACATTATATCCTTTTACTGTATTCGACGTATTTACTCTTAAATTAATAGATAATAATATTGTAGTTTTAAAAGACTATGCTTTATACATATTTGTTGAAAAGAAGACTGGCTTTGGAAGGTATAGGTACGGAAATTCCTAATGTAAATATTCTTTATTTTCTTACAATTCCAAACGTATGGTATTTCTTTAAGTATATGATAGCACAAATTTTAAAAATAATTTCATGTATGATCTAATTTTATTTTTAGTCTTAATATTTTAATGAACCTTGCTATTATAACCAAAGGTTCATTAAATTTGTTTTCTTTCCAAAGAATCTCATAGTTAAGGTATTTAAAAACTACAAAGATTTGTTTTTTAAGGTGTAATTCTAGTCTTAATTTATTTTTATTATTATCTTTTGTTTTTAATAATAATAAATTTGATTACTACTTTGTAACTATATTTAATTCGTAATAATCCACTAATTTATTTTTTCCGCCAAGCACAATAAACAAATTGACGTATTATTCATCTGACATTAAATTATTATGAAATTTAATTATTGTAACTTGGTATAGTAACACTGTTCTAATAAATATAAATAAAATTAGTTGTTATTTTTTTTTTAACACGTATTCTTTGAAAATACGTTTTGTTGGAATGTGGAAAAGAAATAATAAAATATGAATAAAGTAAAGTAAATATTTAAATATGAATTCGATGTTTACTATTATTATATATGTGTGTATTCAATAAATTCGTTCAATGTGTGAATTTGTGTTTTCATTTATTTATTTCTATACACACGCTTACTTTGTCTTTATTTACACTAACACATTACTTATTCTACTGTACTGAATGATTAGTTTCTTATATTTTCAAGCTGACAAAACAATTAGCATTTGTGAATGTGAGAAAAGATAAATTAGAAGTAATATATAAAACATTACATAAGCTGAAAAACTTTTCAATTGTTCAACTTGGGAATGTAACATCTATGATTTTCGTTGTCATTTAGGCAGACAGGTTTATGGCTCACATAATATCAGTGATAGAGATGTATTAAGATTAAGTCCAAGTACATATGAGTTTTTTTTTCTTTTATTGTCCTTGTAGGTAGACGAGCATACGGCCCACCTGATGGTGAGTGGTTACCGTCGCCCATGGACTTCAGCAATGCCAGGGGCAGAGCCAAGCCGCTGCCTACCACAAGTTTACCTATATATGCTTATATCTAGGAAAATCAAATGCTTTAATGTATTTGAATGTGAACAGATATAACGCGATCCCGACATATATGTATATATTTTTTTTCTTTGTCATATCACTTTTGTCAGAGCAGTCGTGGACATCATTCGGTATGATTGCTGTGGGCAGATGTTATGCGCCTCACGAGCAATCGCCACTCCTCCCGGATTGTGGTGAGTCTGGTACACTCATGCAGAGTTAGTTACACATACATATGTTGTATCCAAAAGTTTTATGTCGTTCAAGGCTATGAATAAACGAAATACATATAACGATAATTTGCATATTTTGTTTTACACTTTAATAGTAGTCATTTTTATTCGTTAAGACAAAATTGGGTTACGCGGTGATCACGAAACTTACTGTCTTGAAAAATAGTGTAAGCAGAAGGCCGAGAACTCAAAAACATATTATTTCTTTTTAAAGCTGGCTGGTTCATTACTGGTGGTGGACCTCTTGTGAGTGCGCGCGGGTAGGTACCACCACCCTGCCTATTTCTGCTGTGAAGCAGTAATGCGTTTCGGTTTGAAGGGTGGGGCAGCCGTTGTAACTATACTGAGACCTTAGAACTTATATCTCAAGGTGGGTGGTGGATTTAGGTTGTACATGTCTATGGGCTCCAGTAACCACTTAACACCAGGTGGGCTGTGAGCTCGTCTACCCATCTAAGCAATAAATAAATAAAGCTATATGTGATGTTCGAAACAGTCGGATGAGTATGCTGCCAAGACGGTATTTTTCAAAATTTAAAATAAAATATTCCACATCGCACATAGATGATACCAAAATGAAAGGCCTCGTATACTGCTATAAGATCCAAAATGTTCCAAGTTCACGTTTGTACGTAAAGGCTCACGTTAACCGAATTATTTCCGAAAGAGGAATACTCAGAACAATTTGCCGTCCACCCGAAGATGGAACGTGACGTCGAGGCACACGAAACATGCTGTGGCAATTTATTTGAAACAAAATTGAGATTCTGCCAATATTGAAGTCTAATGTAAGACCGCCCAATAATGCAAGTCAAGAAGAAGAATAAAGTAATTAACAACATCATTTTCTCATACCGATCAGTGGTTAAACACCGTTTTGAGAGAATTTATAGATTTAAATCTATATCAATGATCTAAATATTGCATTAATGAATGAATGAATGAATGATTTATTTTATTTCAGACAAGAACAAGCCCATATGTGTACATAGTATCATTGAAACATACTTAAAATTAACAAAACTAATCAAATAAAAGAGATACATTTATTAAATAAGTTAAGTAATCTGTAGCTGAATTAATTTTTTTTGTTATCTTGTACACCTTGCAAAAAATTGGTAAAAATTATGTATTTTTCAAATTTTAAATAGAACTTAAATTAATGACTATTTCTTTTAAAAATTTGGGATATCTTTGAGAGCAAACCGGTAGTATCGTTTTCTCATAAAAAAAATATATATAAAACAAAATGACATCCTATGATGTGACCGATGATTATTTTAATGTCTTACTTTTTTCTTTTTTTATTCTCCTACCTATTCGCCGATAGCTTAAGAGGCTATTCCAACTTCTCACGGACGGGAATATCGTACCAAAAGCTCGCTCTTAAGCTTCTGGTGAATTCGCACAGGACTCGTTTTGTGCATAAATGCAATAGAATTAGTAGCTACAACAAAACTAAGCGATTAATTCCAGACTGTCTTTCTTGCTAAATCTGATGTCCAACTCTGCTAAGAAATAATACTATTATATAATATATAAATATTATTATTTTACTGGTTTTTATACTATTTTATTTATTATTTCTATTTTATTTTTATACTAAATTACTTATTTACTGGTGGTAGGACCTCTGGTGAGTCCGCGCGGGTAGGGCTTGAAGGGCGGGGCAGACGTTGTAACTATACTGAGACCTTAGAACTTATATCTCAAGGTGGGTGGCGCATTTACTTCGTAGATGTCTATGGGCTCCAGTAACCACTTAACACCAGGCGGGCTGTGAGCTCGTCCACCCATCTAAGCAATAAAAAAAACTTCTTTCTTACCTCCTTACTTTTTTTTTTTTTATTCTTGTACCTATTCGCTGATAGCTTATGAGGCTATTCAAACTTCTCGCGGCCGGGAAAATCGTACCAAAAGCCCTCTTAAGCTTCTGGTGAATTCGCACAGGACTCGTTTTGCAATAGAATTTGTAGCTACAACAAAACTAAGCGATTAATTCTAGACCGTGTTTCTTGCTAAATCTAATGTCCAACTCTGCTAAAAAATAATATTATGAAATAAATAATATTTAAATATTATTAGTGTATGAATAATGAGTATATCAGAGGAAGTGTGAAGGTAGCCCCGGTAAGCAACAAATTAAAGAGCGGACGGTTAGCGTGGTATAGACATGTGATGCGTAGAGAGAAGATGCATGTGACTAGGAGATGTATGGAAATGGTAGTGCAAGGTAGAGGGGGTCGACCGAAGAAGACATGGATGGAGTGTGTGAATGACGATATGAGAGAGAGAGAGGAATGAGTGTTGCGATGACGGCTGATAGTAGAGAATGGAAGAGAAAAATTAGCTGTGCCGACCCCACCTAGTGGGATAAGGTGAAAAAGAAGAAGATATAAATATTATTATATTATTATTATTATTATACATTATTTTTAAAAATACCTTGTAATTATAAATTCCTGACGCTTAACGAAGATCACTTTCACTTCTTGTACTTAAATAGCATCTTGGTATTTCCTTATCTCAAAAGGGCTTCACCTTCCAAGTTTTCTTTGATATCCGCTCAACAGGTATTTTAGTTAGTCGCTGACTCTACTAAATTAAGAATGCTGAGAAAAATAATGAGCCTCTAACTTAAATTTAGATATTGTTAATTCCACAGCTATTCAAAAGCTATTTATTGTTAACAAAATATAAAAAGATACACCGATGTTCTGAATAACAAAATTTCGTACAAATAACACAAAAATCGATACACAGAACCCGACCGTTAACAAATTAGTTTGTAAAATTGAATGTGCTTATAAGCGGCTTTCAACATCTGTCTATTGTATCTTTTGAAGGTATAAGTATCCAATTTATTTGGCAATCTAATCTAATTGACAAATAAAACGTTTTCAAATGGATATGGACTGGATGAAAATCGTAGGAACCAGATTTGAAATTTTTAATCACTTTAACCACCGAACTGGGTCTAAAGAAGCTTAAACAAAAAATATAGAACGACGTATCAAATATTTTAACTACTTTAAACCAGTTTTTTTAATGAAACTAGTTTTAAAAAGAAAATTATAAAAATAAGAGAGAGCAAAACAAGAAACATTTTTTCCATTTGGTTCTGAATATCTATCTACACAAATAATGTATGTAATTAAAACTTTACGTCAAATATCAGCTGGTCCATTTTTTTGAAAATTTATGACAACAAAAATTTATTTAAATCGGTTCATATATGGTATTTAATTATTCACACAAGTTAACAATTAATTTAAAGTTCTTCACAAGAATATGTAGTAAATGACACCATAGAAATTTGAATTCTTAAAAAACGACGCAAGCGCATCTCCCGATACGTTCACAAGTTAAACAAAAAACATATTAACCATGCATGCATTTGAGGTTTATTCAGAAAAGATTTACAAGGGATACAACTTTGGCATCCCCTTTAAAATACCCATCGAAAAAGGCATATGGTCCCAACAAAAAAAGAATACAAAAAGTTTGACCTCAAGAACGCCTTTCCCTTGAGTACTGAACTGCAACGTTTATCTCAGTTATGAAAGAATGGATTGATGCAAGGCGCTCTGTACAGACACCAGTCTCTATACCTCAGGATAGCGCCCGCGTAAACATGCTGTTTCCGTATGGTTTTTGTTGAATGTCAATCGTCATACAGCCTTGCTCAACAGTCTTTCGGGTTACGAATTGTAACGGTGAAAGGCGGACGCGAGGTGGGGGCTCCGAAGTGGCCCGGCAGCCAGCCGCCAGTCTACTGTCAGCCGACCTTCGCCACACTACTCCACCGTGCCAGTGCCACGCGACCACGACACTTTTACTTTCGCGCGGAAATCGCGAATCGACAGTTCGAAAATTTAAAATTTTTATTCGTTGTGTTTGTGGTTAGTGACGTCATGGACAAGTGATTTTTTTTTCTCTCCCAATAGACACTAAATCAAAATGTTATTGTGCCTTGTTATTTGGAGCGTTTTGCTTGCACCGACTCTGTCACAAGGTGAGTGGAACAATGCAGGCATGCGAAAAAATAATATTTGTCAGATTTTGAAATTAGAACTTAACTTTTGCTCACAGCATATTATACATGTTTTGTTTTTAATGGAAACACAAAATTTACATACCGGTTCTCGGCTAATATAATAATTGGTCGTGTTACCATAAGCAAAAACAATGAAACCATTGTCTATCGTTTTTTGTATGTGCTAAAGCATGCTTTTTAAAATTCAGTACTAAAATGACGCAAATTAAATAGAAAACAATTAATCAGAGTCCATTGTCCAGTAACTAACAATCTTGTTAATCGTTGCCGCGAATCTTGTATGCGCGAGCGACGATATTAACATAAAGTTTTTACCTAATCATTTAACTAAAGACAGACTGTCATACATGTATGTATATGTATATGAGTGGATAAAATAACGCAAATGTTGCTTACTTTTACCACGAGTAATTATTAAAAAAAAAACTTTCACCTTTTTAATTTTATTTCATAGGTTTAATATTTCTGGGCTATGATAAGAATTTGTAAGAACTGATTAACATCGGATTTATGACATTTTCCAAGTTCAAATTTTCCAAAAATAGTAAGTAGATTTTATCATAAAATATCCAAGAATTAAAAAGAATGTGATTTCGTTAATTAACCTTTTTGGTGATTTGATATGCAATAATGTTGTATTGGTTAGCACTGACATATTTTATCTTTCGACACTTAAATACGATATTCTAGGCGAATATCATAAAAAACGTATGCGAAGTCGCTAAGTCGTTTTGTTGTATTGTTAATGACCACGCGAAATTTTCGAACACGCTCATGCCAACGTCACAGACAAATTTTCACTTACGAAGCATTCGAATTAAAGTTCAAATTTGCTTGTTAACGAACACAAAGCACACATTTTGAGGCCGCAGTTAATCCGTCTAGTACACTCCAGCTCGAATGCGGAACCCTGAAATAATACGCATACTCGCTTATTATACTCGTTCTAATTTCAAGCTATGATTTAAAATCTAGAAGGAAATTATTAACGAAAATTCCTTACGTCAATTGTGTTCATAATTACTACCATTAAATTGAGAAACACGGAGTTTGTCATTTTAATTTAATTTATCATTGCTTACATGTGTGACTACGAAAGAGAGCTTCGCATTTTAATGATACAAACTGTTGTTTTATGTGTACTATTTAGTATTACTAGAGGCCCGCAGTAGTCGAAATGCGACTATAATTAAATGGAATTGTAAGTTTGTACACTATTATGATTGTATTTTCAACGCCAATACTACACTATAGAAAAATATTAATAAAGACAAACAGTATTTAATCTATTCTCAATTTGACCACAGACGTCAAGAACATAAGTTTGACAATAAATAAATAGTATGCATGCGTGCGTGTGTCAAATACACGGTAGTGTGTGTAATGTTTACTTTATTGATTTAATGTATCTTTTATGCATTATTTTAAAAAAATATTAGCATTGTGCACTTCTTCTCTATATTCTCTATAAGTGTGGAAAATTTCATACTCCTCCGTCCGCGCAATTTTCGTAAAAAGGGATACGAAGTTTTTGCTTCACGTATTAATATGTAGATATATTTGTGCCTTTGTTTCTTTGGTCGAATCGTTTCGTGTGCCGTTTATTCGATTTAGTTGATACATTGCACAGTCCACAGAGTGGATGCTCCGATAATACAATCAAAATACAAAAGGTGACGCGCGAATTTGCAACTAACATATCTATTACATGTAATATTTCTCGATATAGAATTTAATAAACACAATTTAATATAATTCTCATTTTACCACCGATACAAATTATTTAAGGGGCTTATAAAATTTTGCGTGATAAATAAATATCAAATCTAATTAACTTCTATTCAGAAAAAAATACACGCACTCAATGAGATGATGAGTCTTGAGTTCAGAAATTTTGTACATGAAAGTGCAATTGTAAAGCACTTCTACACATTGTGAAATGAGTCTAATTTTCAATACATTTAGTACCAATACTAGAGTCTATAAATATACTTTGAATTTATATAGTTCAGACTATTCAAAACTGAACCGAACCGAAGATCGCTCGTCGTACTCAGCTCGTTATAAGTTTCAGGAAGTTTTAAGTTTGATATATTCTTATTTTTGTGATTCATTTGATATTTTTAAAGCAAAAGAGATGATAAGTTTTTAACGCTATCGTCTGTTTATAAATGAAACAAATGGTACTGAAGCCGGTAACATAAATGAAATTTAACCCCAAATTTCGTTGAATAGTTCGGTCACATAATATTAAACTTACAAGGGGATCAAATTGTACTAACTTTTAGCACTAGTATCAGAACATTAAACTCTGAGCTAGTACTGAGTACTAGAGTGAGTAGAGCAACATAACATATAACCATTACACGTCCTTACGAATCCATCAGATCCAATAACCTTTGCACTAGACGCCTTCAGCTCTAACACTAGGAGCAGGCTTAGGGACCCCGATAACTGTACTCGTCAAACTCGACAAAGAGTTCGACGTGCAACCCATTCGACCCATGAATCAGCTCGCTGAGTTTCTCGCCGGATCTTCTCAGCGAGTCGCGATTCCGATCCGGTAGTAGATTTATTCGCGAAGCAGCTGCTCTTGAGCTGTTAGGTCTCCTTCGGAGGCGCTCGGGCAGCTGTTAGCAAATCCCACCCCTTCTGGCTGAGCCTTTGCTCGCCCACCTGTCCTGGTGAAACTGGAAAGTCCTCCGGGCCACCAGTAATCCTTCAATGATAAGATAACCATTACAAAAAGAAAATTAATATTAAAATTTATGCTAAATTAAATACTGTTTTAGTAGCTTTACCAATAATGAGCACGTAATGTACAATTTGAAAAATTCGGGCATCAATAACCGAGTAACTTAAAATGTCAATTGAGATAGATCTTGAAGTCAGAAACTTAAAGAATAGTTAGCATTTATTACAAAAATCGTTTTTATATGGATTCGTGCTTAATTTTCTTGTTTTCTACATATATTATTATTGATATCTTCTGAAAAAACACTCACACTCCTAAATATTAATACAACACTTAATATGTAACAGAACATTATTTTATGATTTTTATTTTTAAATCTCTCATATTATTTGAAATCACACATAATAGCCACGGATGTGGGCAGCCTTCATGAGTTTAGTTGTTGACCGTGGAGTTCAATTTAAAGTAATATTTATGTGATATAAAGATTATGTAAAATAATGAAGTGCATTATTGACCTATATACCAATGCAGTCCTATTTTGAATGGTTTTTTTATATGTTTGGACAGACCAATGAGCTTGTGATAATCTAGTAATTAGGGAGACATTAAGGGAAAACCTCAATTCTACTGCGGTCTCTGATGCACCCCTCAAACGAATTATTGATTTACGGCAGAAATACGCAGCATTGTAGTAATCACCCAAAAGTAAAGAAAACGCGGCACCCCCCAGTAAATATCTTTTCTGGATCAAGTCCACTATGAACTTACTGAAGTCGCAGTGGCCTAAGCGACAAGACGGCCGGTGCATTTGTATCGATTCTTAGCGATGCGACTGTACCAGTGTTCGAATCTCGCATGCAAGTAACAATTTTCTAATAAAATATTGATATATTTTCTAATATGTATGTACTTAACAATTGTTCGTGAATGATTTCCACGGTGAAGGGGTAACGTCGTGTTATAAAAATCGAACCCGCAAAAATATACTTTGCGTAATTGCTGGTGGTAGCGCGTCTTGTGAGCACGCACGGATAAGTACCACCATCATATTTATTTCTACCGTAAATAGTAATACGTTTCGGATCGAATACTGGAGAAGAAATTGCACTGAAACTTTTTTCCTACCTAAGCTGATAGATAGCCTTGAGAGGCTATGTCAGCGTAACCTAAAAAGTAGGTGAGCTCAAACCTGATAACGTTACTAACACTAACCCTAGCCAGGGCAGTGTTTTGCAGAATCTACCACCGGATCCGAAACGCGATCCACTGAGAAGATCCGGCGTGAAACTTAGTGGCCCGTGTTTCCAGGGCACTGAAACATTGTCACTTAGAACTCGTGTCTCAAGCTAAGCTGATGGAATTTATGTCACTAATCATGCTAACGTCAGCTCGTCCACCAAATGCTGAGCGTGCATTAATTATCTACCACTTCTGCGTTACGTGACGGAAAAAACCTCGATTTCAGCAACAAGTGATAAAGATCTCGATTTGCTTGAATCGATTCGTGTACGCAAGAACGCGTGCATACAGATTTGCTTTCACTTATCCTTAACTGACATCTATGTTTGTGCAAGTACGCCGGACGATTGCAATTATATATTACTAGAGGTCCCGCAGTAGTCGAAATTCGACTATAATTAATTGGAATTGTAAGTTTGTACACTATTATGATTGTATTTTATACTTCTATATTCACAAATTTCGGCAAGACTACACTATAAAAGATATTAACAAAGACAAACAATATTTAATCTATTCTCAATTTGACAACAGACGTCAAGAACAAAAGTTTGAAAATAAATAGTATGCATGCGTGTGTGCATCAAATACATGGTATGTAGTGTGTGTAATGTTTTCTTTATTGATTTAATGTATCTTTTATGCATTCTTTTAAAAAAATATTAGCATTGCACACTTCTTCTCTCTATTCTCTATAAGTGTGGAAAATTTCATACTCCTCCATCCGCGCAATTTTCGTAAAAAGGGATACAAAGTTTTTGCTTCACGTATTAATATATAGATTTATTTACGGTTCACATGTACTTTTGGTTTGTTTGATTTTTCCAGTAAGTCTCTTACAATAAATAGTAAGGCATTTTTGAATTTTTAAGCACTATCGAATTGATGTAACAATTTGGATATACATATTTTTTAATTTTCCACTGACCTAGTTTTAAATCTCAATATCCTATAAAGGAATCTTTGAAGTTTGAAGTTGCAAATTGCCATTTATCCCGCGGCGCAGCACCGCATTAGTAGC